TAAGAAATGGATGAAGGTCCCATCTTCAAAAAAGAGGACACTGCGGAATAAGTTGCTTGTGAGTTTGATTTTAATTTAGTTTATTCATAATAATTTCAAGCACTCACTTTTATATATTTATGCTTGATAATATAGGTATTATTTGTGGTGGACTTATCTCATCCAAAGATAATTGAACATGTTGATAAGAAGATAGCGAAGTTGTACTTTGTGTTTAGGCACCGATTGTATAAGTACTACTTGTCATGTGGAACACCCGCAAGAGGACGAGCTAATCTGCCAAATGATTGGATATGGAATGGGAGACTTAAGAGCCACTAGGACTGGCTATTCGATAATGTTTACACTACTAACCACTTTTTGGTATGCATTCTATACACCATTTTCTAATATATGTCCAACTAAGATGCCAACTTTTTCTGATATTGTTGAACAATAATTTTTTTATCACAAGTTGATTTTGTAATAAATGGAATGAGCATAGACCAATGCTTTTTATTTTTATTTTTATTTTTTATTTTATATTTTATATTTTTATATTAAAATTTAATATATAAGCATATGTTAACTTTTACATGTATTTGTTGGTATTAATATATATATATATATATATATATATAAAAGCTTGTGATAAATAATCGAATGCAGGGCTTGTGATAAGTAAGCTATGCTTCTTCACTGGTGAGCTTATATAATATATAGTGTTCTAAAAAATGGCGTAGGCACTGGGCGGTGGTGACCCGAGGCGTTTTCTTGCAAATCGGTTGGAAAAATTGGCTAGGCTCTAGGTGGGGTAGGCGGCTAGGTGGTTTTTTTTTTATTTTTTTTATTTTTTTGAAATTTTAAAAAATAAAATCCTATCTAAGGCTAAGTTGTGAACTTGTAGTACTGTTGGAAATAAGAAATTAATGAGCAGAGAAGAGATCGATGAGCTTTACCTTTGTGCGTCGGCAAACCGTGATGGCTGAAATAGATGAGCTGGGCTCAGGTCTGAGGTTTGGGTTTCGGTTTGAAATAGATGTGAGATAGGGTGGAGATAAATGAGAGACTTATTTCGGTTTCTAGAGAGAGAGTTCTGATTTTCTTGGGAGACATTTCTCATCTTTTAGAGAAATGAGAGAGAGACATAGGGTTTCTCAATTTAATCAGAAATGAGGGAAAGACATTCAGAAATAACTAATAAGAATGGCCTTTCAATTGGAATTCTAGGGAGCTCATTTTCCTAATACACGACACGTGGGGGCATCCTAAGCCTCTGTGCTACCCAAGGAGCAACTGTCTAAATGAGAGATAAGGGGAACTCTGGGCTCGAGGTCATCAAAAGCTGAAATGAGAGTGGATGTAGCTGCTAGGGTTTTTCAAATGTTAAATGAAGCTACTACACTAGCTTATATTATAGCTGTTGCAAAGGATTAAAGCAGGTTTGGCCTTGTACGTGTTGGTTCTTCTTCATCAGTTTCCAGGTCACGAGTTCGATTCTTCACGGTGGCTGTTTTGTGTTTCTTTTTCATTCTTTTTCCCGAGTATATTTTTCTCGCGTGTCATTCTACTATGGTTATATAACATATATGCTTAATGTATTTTTAAATTTTGGACTTGTTGGATACTCTTTTTACATTTTATCATTCTTTTATTATCTTATTCATGGATTTCATACAAGTATAATTTTTTTTGTAAGTGTCAATATGCACTTATTTACAAGATATACAAGAAATTTACCTAAATCCGCCTAGACCTTTCCTAGCCACCTAGGAGTTAGGCGTCAGCTCGCCGCCTAACTAGCACCTAGTGTTTTTTAGAACCTTGATAATATATATATATAATGAAGAGCTTGTACATGTATGTTATTGATAAATAAGCTCTGCTTCTTCACTGATAAATAAGCTTTGCTTCTTGGAATAAAGTGGCGTGGTTTTTGATGTATTTGCTATCTAAATTCTATTGATAGTTCAGTTTGGTCCAAATTGGTTATTAATTTATTGGTAATTGATTTTCTATTATTATTTTGAATGGACCAAACTGGTTATTAATTTATTGGTAATTGATTTTTTATTATTATTTTGAATTGCCATTCAAAATTCAGCCAAATCTGATTTCCCAATAATTTCTACGATCATATTTACATACTTAACCCAAAAAAGGATTTAAAAATAATAATAATAAAAGAGAAAAAATTTAGCATTCAGATCTCGACTTTCTTCCGCCTTCTGCTGCGGCGCCGAGTGCCTTAGCATTCAGATCCTTATTCTTTGCCCACCTCCTTCTGATGCGACGCCTCCACCTACTCCTCCCGCTAAAGAGTGTTTTCCAATCTTGCTGAATATATTTCGACCTCGGCAGCATCCTCGACGGCCGCATAAGCGACATTAAGATCTGCAACCGCAGCCCTCGCATCAGACACCGCCTTTGCGGCCCTCCTTGCTGCTTCATCGGCATTTTTTGTGCCAGCTTTAATTCTCTTCAAATATTCTTCTTTGCTTACCTTGGGGGCTTGTTCGGTGCTGGCCGTACTGTGCTCGGGGGCTTTTTCGGCGCTGGCCATGCTGAGCTTGGAGAATGAAAGGTGGGGAATAAGGATAAAGAATAGAGAAGAAAAAGAGGCGGCTATGTGAAAAAGTTGGAGAATAAGGGTTTTTGTGGGTGTTTTGGGTTAGTCACACAGCCAAAAAAAGGCCCGGCATTCAGGAAGTCTTTCCAGCCCACGGGATTGACTAGCATCCAATCTAAGCTAGTCTCCAGGCCAGCCCAAAATTGATAGATATTGAGACCAGCCCATATGACACCATGTTGACGTTAGGGATGGAAGGAGTCAGAGAGGGAGAAGGCAAATGGCCTGAAAGTGATGGCCCGAGTTCGTCAGAAAATATGAAAAAAAATGCACCAATAGCATGTTTACATCAACACAAAAGTTTCCAACACAATTTATATGTTAGAAACCATAAGAATAGGATTGAGAACTTACCCAGGTGAAATGCAAGAGATTTTACTGAGATTGGACCTTGAACTCGTCAGAGTTGTCCGTTTTCCTTTGTCGGAATCACATGCAGGGAATTAAGCTCTCGAATTAACCACAAAAATTGCAACACAACAAGATTTAAAGCTTAAGAACACAATACAGTGATAGAAACATCACCTGGGTTAGAGATTGAGTGCTCAAGCTCTCAGCTTCAATGGTAGGACCTCGCACCATGCACCGATGCCACATGCCAGGCCATGGTTGGGTTCCTTGAGCTCCAGGGATTACAAAAATAATATTTTGTGTTTGATTTGTTGAAGGTTTTGAAGAGGAAGGAGAAGGAGAGCTCACGGGAGTGAGCTGGAAAAGAGAGAGAGGGAGAGAAAATAGATAGAGAGAGAGAGAGGAAAAGAGAGAGAGAGGGAGAACCAGTTGGGGATGTAAAGGGAGAGTATAGAGGGTTCTAGTGGAACTGTGGAGGTTCCTAACTTATCTTTTTTATTAATAAAATTATTATTTTTATTATTTTATAATAAAGAATAATAATATTTTAATAAAATTGACTAGGTTATTTTTTGTTAAGGGTGGAGATGCATTTGGTCTATTACTATTCATTAGGGTCTATCACTATTCACCGAGTAGATAAATGCGCTGGGTGCTGGCACATTTGTGTTAGGGGTGGAAGTTAGAGGAAATTACATTTTACACTCTTTAAGTTTGAGAGTAATTGTAATTTCATACAATATTTTTGAATCATTTTAATATTATCTATTTTTTTTTTATTTTTTTATATTTTATGCATCTGTCCCAATTTCTATTTCTACTAATTTCTCTCTTATCTTCTTACGTGGACATCGCATATCTCATAATATTGTGCTACGTAAATTAAAAAAAAAAAAATTATAACAGAAAATCTCGTTACTGACAAAAACAATTTCTTGAGAAAAAAAGAAGAAACTTTCGATCCTGCAACTCTCTTACTCTCTTCCCATCGTACTCCATTTCCTTCTTCTCAGAGGCCAAATTAGCATTATTGGAAGCTCTGGCGGGGATTTCATCAATAATGGTAAAAAATTAACCCTTACTTTCAAAAATATCATTTTTTTATAATTTGTTTTAAATATATCCAAAATCTCACTTAAATAGACACAAATATCCTTAATTTATACAAATAGCTAGTTGTTGATTAAAAGATTTTTGTGCTATAATCAAGTATTGCTCTCACTAATATAGTAATATTTATCATTTTTTTTTATTTATTTGTCAAGCGTAGAACATAGGTTTCTCTCAATTTTATTTTTTAATATATATATATATATATATATATATCTATATATATAAAGTGAGAAGGATTAAAAGGTGAAACATTCAAAATACCAAAAATTGCCCTTCAAGAATTCTTAAAATTACAATTGAACCATAAGAATTTAAAGTAATTCACCACATTTTAATTTTGAATGAATTTTAAATTTAAAACTTTAACTAAAAAAATACTCCCATGTTAGTGGGCGGTTTCATGGTTTTGCTTCATTTTTTTTTGTGAATAATTTTTTAATATAATATAAAATAGTTATTTAAAAAAAAATTAAAAGACATAATCTAATATAAAAAGGCCAATTGCCACACGTTTATGCGTGTGGCAAGAGGCTAGTATATATATATATATATATATATATATATAAAGTGAGAGTCCCAGTTTGGTGAAGCATTCTAATCCCCTAAAATGCCCTCACTTCAAAACAAAAAAAAAAAAAAATATCAAATTATCCTAATAGAATACGGTATAATTGTAATATACGCAAATATGATAGGGTTAAATCGTAATACACAATTTGTAGATATTTGGCTGCGGACAATGTATGTGTGCATGCTTATGATGAATGATAGTTTACAACCGTAAGATAAATGGGACTTACACTTTCTAAACAATTGTGACCTTTCGATTATTTGTCCTACAAGTACTGTATACATTCTTTCTTTCAACAAAAAAACAAAAAAATAAAATATAGAAAGATTAAACCCTGTGAACTCAAGCAGTTCCAGAGTTTGCACGATGGAAACCACCCATCCAACACTAGCGGTTGCAGCGTTGCACGATGGAAACTGTACCTACTACTAGACGTTCATAAGGCTTCAACTGGTTACTCAGTCCAACTGTTCATACAAAAGGGAGAAACGAACTCAACTGCACAGACCCCTCTATCAAATCGTGGTTTTTTTTTTTTTTGGCCTTCTTCTTCATCCACCTTTCAATTTGGTGCTTTTGGGGAAAGGATGAATTAGGATCAACAAAGTACTACAATTTGCAGGTACCCCTCTATCAAATGGCTTCTTTTTTTTTTTTTTTTTTTTTTTTTGGGCCTTCTTCTTCATCCATCTTTCAATTTGGTGCTTCTGGGGAAATGATGATTTAGGATCAACAACAAAATACTACAATGTGTTGGTCCGGCCACCAAATCCCCTATTTTATGTGATTTAAGATATTGGAGGGTATCATCTTCTCCCAATACCCAACTTCCCAATTTAAAAAACAGGGGTTTATTTTTGGGTTTTTTCCTGTCATTAATTTGGGAATGGTGACTATCTTACGCAGTGGCTGATGAAAGAGCTAGGGAAAATTCCCAAGTCCAGTTTTCACTCTTTTCATTTTCTTTGTTCCTTGCAGATTCGTGAAAAGGATTTGGGACTACAAAATGGAAGCTCTGAAAAATTTCGTTCTGAAATTGGAGCTTTCTCGCCAATGATTCGAGCGGGTATTGATGTCTTCATTTTCCATTTTTACCATCACCAATTCAATCAAAACCTATGCCATGCTTAATTATCAATAGAAAAATGGCAGGAGATCATACTTTTAGGGAAAAAAAATGTCGTACATGTGTGCTTTTGCGCCAAAACTTGATCTTTTGTTTAAATTTACAAACTTTGAGTAGATTTTGGAAAAGGGTTTTCTAAATAACACATTTTTATCTAATGTGATCGTGTGTTGTAGATTTTGGAGTTCGTACGAAATGGTGATAAATCTCTGACGGAAGTGATGGACATTACGAAACAATTGCTGGGAAAGTAGTGGTGTGAACTGTGAAGGATTTTGGTAATGGGTTTTGAAAAGGAAACGTTTATGTCTAATTTATTTTCCATTTCTTTATACTTGAGGATTCCTTTATTAATTTTTGAATGTTAGTGGCAATTCCTCTTAAAGTTGATGAAAGTAAACTTGGTGGCACATAATAACCAGGTAAACTAAACTTGGTGGCATCTGTTACTCTGTGTTTCATTCAACTTGGACTTGAGTTTCTTCATTGAAAGGCAAACCCAGCTTACATGCTTCCATATTAGTTGTGCTACTACTTTGCCTTTTCTGTGCTTATTTCTTTAGGCAATTTGGTTTTTACAATGTGCAGGCGCTCCAAATTTTATATAGCTCTTATGAATTTGGGATATTTTAGGGAATTCACAAGCTGACCAACATTATTACTTTTTTACGGCAAACGTTTCTTATCATCTATTATTTTTTATGGTTTTCTTTTCCAGTCCTAGATTTATGAACTTAATGACTTTTAATTTGTCTTTAAACCATAGAAATATGCATAACTAGGATGACCATAACTGAAGTTCCCCGTGAAACAACACTATCTTCTCAAATCTTTCATCACCGTGTCCCCATAAGTCTGGCTTCCTTTTCTGTAGATTGAATGCAATTTTGGCTTAAAGTAAGGCAACATAACCTAATACATATTGGTTCACAAATCATCAGCTAAGAGAGAAAAGAAACCCTCATAGCACTATGTTGAAAAAATTTGGATGATTTTGGATAAGTGAAGCTTGAAATGGTTTAGGATATTGGGGTAGGGAAAATCCCCAAGTCCAGTTCTGATTGTTCACTCTTTTCATTTTCTTTGTTCCTTGCAAATTCGTGAACAGGATTGGGACTACAAAGTGGAAGCCCTGAAAAATTCCGTTCTAAAATTGGAGCTCTCTCGCCAGTGATTTGATCAGGTATTGATCATATCCCTTTTCCATTTTTACCATCACCAAATTGGATGTGTGTTCTCTTGATTTCAGTTCTTGGTTCTATCCATTTTGCACTCCTATTTCCAAATCATTTACACAGACTGACATAAAAAACATACAGAGAGACAATTCTGGAGTGCATGCTGATGCTTATTTAACTGAATTTTTTGTTTTTATTTTCATATAAAAGTGTGTTTTTACCAATTGGTTTGCATCCTTGTTATATTTGTAGAACAATGCCTCATGTTTATTATGATCATCTAAATTAGTTAGACTTTCAATTTAATGTCATATATGTATTCTTACTCTTCAGCCTAATACTATGATGTGCTATGACTTGGAGAAATACTATTATGTTTGACGCTATTTGACCAATTAGTTAGACTTTCAAAAATCTTGGTTTTACAGAACATGATTATCATTTCAGTTAAATTATATGGACAATTGTGACATAGCCATATCTTATTTAACAGAAAACATAGTCATTTCTTATTTAACAGAAAAAGATGTACTGAATGAAGCTTAACTGTTTTATGATGTAATATTTATAGCGTTGTCAAGAATAACCTCAATTATTTTAGTTGGCATTGGTTGCAGACCTATTTGTTATACACACTTATTGGTTGCTGATAGGATTTTTATCATCTACAAAAGTAGGGATAAAAACACATGAAATACTTGCAAGAATACAAGGATGTTGTAGTATAGATGCTCCTGCAAGGTCGTTCTCCTCAAAGACTATTTGGATAATTTATGTAGAAAAAATTCCTAATTAAATTCTTAGAGTTAAAAATTGAGAAAAAAGATTCTGAAATTGGGTAATATTAAAAACGAATTTTAATTAAAAACTAATATGACAAAAGAAAAGAGTTTTAAATACCAATTTATAAAAGCACTAGGGTTCCACCATCATCTAGCAATCCTATGTACTTTTACCAATTACTTATGATCTACACATGCCACTTTGAAGGTTAGGTTTTCCTAATTCATATTCTACTTGGAACCTCCAACATAGAACGTATATTTAACAAGCAACCTGTCCAGACATTCGAATCAAATCTGAACGTGGTCAATAATTCAAAGTATGCATGCAATCAATCATAAGCAATTAAATAAAAATCACATATTCATGCTAAGGCTCAAGGCGTCGCCCTAGCAAAACAAATTAGTTACACATATTCATAATTGAAATCATAGAAAATATTATTAAGAATAAAAGGAATGGAAACACCTTGAAGTAGAAAATCTCCAAGAACCCTAGCAAAGTTCTTCGTCTCCAAAGTTTTATAACAGAAAGCGTCCACAAAACTAAGAACGGCAAGGCAATATATTTGCTAAGCCATCACACAAACCCTAAAACATAGGTCCTTTATTCCAACTAGGAAACTAAATAATAATAAAATAGGAGAAACTGCACAGAAACTGTCCAGCCATGTTTTAGCCTCAAATCTCCTCCAAATCCGGCCCATAATAACTTGTTTTGAAGATCAGAACATTTTGAACACATCTCCAGAAGGCCATGAACCCAACCAAGGTCATCTTAGGCTCCAAAAACGCAAGTCAATCCCAAAGCGTCACTATTCCAGCACCATGCATTGCTCCTTTATTTTATTGCCAAAAAATCATTGCTCAGTAGAAAAATCTGATATTTTGATACGATCAAGCTAAGTGACTCATGATCATCCTCCAACTGGAATTACTCCAAAATTCGTCCATTTGACCATGTTTTGCTCTAGAAGAAGTCGAAAGTCCTATATTATATTGAAAATACAATTCAAAGTATCAAAATTCTTCCAAAATATTAACTAAAATATATTAAGAATAGGATAACATATATAATATGAAATTGACTCATCAATTGTAGACCCATTTGTCGAGGCTTGAAGAAAAAGGAAAAAAAAGGGGGGGCGGGGGAAGTGTATTCTTGCCATAGATTTTCTTTTGGCAGTGAGCCTTGAAGAAAAGGGAAGGTGATAACAGCGGAAGAGGTGGCATTTTGCTTTTGGCCTTTTGTTTTCTTCATTTTGCTGAATGTTGAGACTTGAGAAAAGAACTTCTAATGTTGAACCCCAATTCGATGTAAAAGCATAACCTAATCATGTTAGCATACAAACTTGATTGTTATTTTGTTCAATTTACACGTTTACATTTCTAAATGAATATAAATTTCCATTTTGTATTCGCATTCAAAAACTAACACAATACATCTTTAGGGGTGCGTAGCGCCAGTGATGCAAAAATGCCTTCGCACGCAAGTTTGTGCGTGTGGAGAGGTTAGTAATCAAAGAAAGTCCCAAGACATCCGGAGCAAAGAAAACTGCACCAGCTGATTAAAATTGCACCAGCATCAAGGAAAACCACTAGCTGAATAAGAACAAGCAGAGAAACACAACCAAACGACCAGGAAAACATTTGGCTAGGAGGAATTAACATAAGAAAGTTAATCTGTTTTCTTTTTGGATTATAATAATTGAGTTTTCTTTTTGTTTGAAATTCTTCATCTAATAAGGTTTTGGTTTTTTGTTAGCTGTTTTTTTTCTTTTTTTGTTGGATGAAAAAAAACTTTCATTAAAACGAGAAACTATGGGTACAATCTCAGAACGAGCCAAGTCAAAGTTTAGGGCAGGGTCGACAAAATTTGGTAAAACACTATCCCATATATGATTAGTCTGAATCTTGAACCCATGCTTAGCAAAAGCATCTGCAGCAAAGTTAGTTTCTATAAAAATGTGGTTCAACGAGATAGCTTAGAACTTTGGAGCCAGTCTTCTAATTTCCGCTATCATAGCACTCATATTCTAGGGGACGGACCAACCATCGAGGACAGACTGGATTACTAATCTTGAGTCACCTTCCACCTAAATTTTAGTAACTCCTTTTTTAAGGGCAAAAGAGAGCCCCTCCTTCAGTGCCAAAGCCTCTGCCTCTGAAATCGTAGCTCCATCCAAATTAAAGAACCATCTCCCAAAAACCTCCCCTGCTCATTTCTCAAAACAAATCATGCAGCTGCTTTCTGAAGGCTGATTGACCCATCAAAATTTAGTTTTATGAAATTTGGGATCTGAAGGGTGCCATTTAATGTTTGATAGGTTATCATTGAGACTTCTTGTCTGAGTTATTTTATTTACTTGAAGAAAGGAGTTCCCCAGAGAGAGAGAGAGAGCAATGGCCCTAGTTCTCTCATGATAAGGTTTAATACCTCTGAAGTGTTTATTATTTCTGTCATTCCATATTTGCCAGCATATAATCAGAACACGACTTAAATCACAAAGCCCATTATTATCCACATGGCCAAGATCAGAAAGGCAATCAATGGCCCCATAGAACTCAGAGTTCAAGTTACTCGGCACGTTAATATTTCACACATTCCAAACTAATTTTGCAAAATCACATTTAAAAAAAAAAAAAAAAAAAGAGATGGGTCTGAGATTCATCTGCCCTGTTACATAAGGGGCATTTAGTATCAACGTCTTTGATGAACTTACTTAGCCGTACTTTGGTTTGAAGTCAATCATGCAAGAACATCCTCGCAAACATTTTTACCTTAGGAGGAAGTTTCAACTGCCACATGCGCTTAATCAACACACTTTTGGCATCAGGATTATGCCAATTATTTTGGAATCCACGTAGCTGACTTAACTGAAAACATACCTGTTTTAGAGCAGCCCCAAACAATTCTATCATTCGAATCATCTTGTGCTATAACAATATTGCAAATTCTCTTAACAACAAGGTGATCAGGGTTGTCTCTATCCCAACACGTATTGACGGTGCAATCACTTACACGAATATTCCAATTGATATTAGTCTGCTGATCATCAGGGACGAGAAGGGCTAAAGGGTAATGAAAAACCCAATTATGGGACCAAAACAAGATGTCCTAACCATTACCTACTGTCCATCTCATACCCCTAGCCAGAATATCGCGACAATTAAGAATGCCCTTCCAAGCTAGTGAGTAGTGTTGTCTGATCTTATTATACAAAAACTCTTCTTGAGAAAGGTATTTCCTCTCAACTAACTAAACCCACCAGTTATCTTCTTCCGTCAGAACTTTCCAACCTAACTTCGCAAGGCAAGTATTATTAAAAGATCAAGCCTTCTAATTCCAAGTCCCGAATCCTGTTTGTTCATACACACATTGTCCCATGAAAGTGGAAAAAAATCTCTCCCTCTACCCCAGAGGAAATCTCTACATTCATTGTTTAATTTACAAGTTACCTGGAAGGACATTTAAAACAAGACATTACATGATTAGGCATCCTTGAAAGGTTAGATTTGATAAGCGTTATTCTCCCTGCCTTTGATAATGTATTTGCCTTCCAGCCCGAAAGCTTTTGTTTTACCCTTTTTATAAGCTCATTTTCATTTATAGGGTTCTTCAAAAAAACAATGCTATGTATCCCAAGGTACTTCCCGTTTTATGCTGAATTTGTAGCACCTGAACTATATCATTCCTTAGTTGTG